ATGTATTGAAGTCGTTAACTACAAATTGGTGATAGCTAGCTTTCTAAGCTTTGGGATAATTAGGTACTTTGTCGATTAAAATCGGTCAATGACTATTACGTTAATGGACAGACACTAGGTCATCGGTCTCCGGCCATCTGGTATAGTACAGATTGGACCAATTTTATACAATAGGGATGACGTAAATGGGTGCCCAATAAAACACTTATCAAAATATGGTAATGGTCCGCCCTAATAGCTGACGTACCTAAACTTTATATATAAATTAAACCATGCAGCGCGATAAGTGTTTTAAAGACATCGCGTAGTGTTCTTAGAAGGACGTACCCAGGGCCCCTGGCTTATGGGATGGAGATTATCAAACGACGTTCCAAGGGAGACGTACCATTAGCCGCCTCGGCCTAGGCCGGGATAGAGACAACACGTAGTGTTTCATCCGTTAAATCTGGTTCTAGACTTGTTAAACTCAGACTGTAGATATTATAGGTACTATCATAGCTGTTGTAGTTTCTTGTATTTCATATATAAACAAGGACTTTATTATAACAACACAGGTTTTATCCATTTAAAAAAAATACATTAATGTGAAAGTCTGGATACAGCGACACACGAAAGTGAAATGTCTGTCTTTTTGGCGCCGTGACACTGCATAAGTGTTACCATAGTGTCGCATATATTATTAAATATACATTATTGTAGATTAGATAAAGAGCTGGCAGTTCTTACTATAATAGTTAAAACTATATATTGTAAAGGCAATTTGCTGAAACTTTCAGTCAAATTGATACACTTCTAACCGAGAATTTACCTGGTCTCGGTCATTATTACTAATGTCGGTAGGATAAAAAACATAGTCTCGATTATCCATTTCATGATTTAATCATGAATCAAAGTTGAGCAGCAAATTGGATCATAATTCAGTAAATATCGCTGGCTAGCGATGACGCCGAGAGTTGATTATGATCTGGATAAGTTAATTTATGTCTCATTAATAATTTAGATAACATTTCAGGGTTAAAGAAAGACCTGCAATAGGCAGATTTAGCTCTTGCATAATGTATGTTTAAGTAAGTAAAGTAAAAAAAAAAAACCATGGATTTTCATATTTTTGAGAGACAAACATTTGTTAACAGCACACCGGGCGATTGAAACCAACTTATATTTACTTGATGCCAGATGATTCCTTTGTTCTTGGAATACGTTGTTCTATTTCAGATGTCAATAATATTCTTTCTCATCCTTGTGGCGGACCACAGAGTCGAAGTAATCCTAATCAGGGCGTGTTTACCTGTGAACAGACATTAACAGATTTATCTCAGTTATCTCTACCATTTAATCACAAGGATGTGTAAGTTTTCGCACAAAAAACTAGCATGCTATTACAAAACGCATGCACGAGAGAATAAAAACGTTTTTCGATTGTTTTTGACTTACCAAGAACATAATCATAATCTCTACCATTTAATCATAATGATGTGTAAGGGTTTTAAATAACTAGCATGATATTACAAAACACATGCACGAGAGAATGGAATAAAAATGTTTTTTGTTCTTTTTCACTAATTATGATGCTCAAAGGGCTAGAATACAGTAAAAGCCCTATTCTCTGCCTTACGCTCTTAATGTCTTGGGCAAAGTACCCAAATGTGCTGTCTAAAGTGCGAAACAGTTTCTATGTAACTGTATATAGCTGGGTTGATTGGGGCTAACTGACAGACATATTTCACTTTCGTGATCATTGTGAATACAACAGTGGATACAGTGTTATCTTCTCTGTTTAAGATTTACATACAATATTCAGAAGTAGCTATCCAGACAACAACGGCTGTCAATAATTTGTTACTGTTATTCGCACAGTTATGTCCCTTTTTAAATTCAATGAAGATTGATGAATGTACACATTTGACAGATATGTCTTTATACAGATATCATAACCAATATTTGATATTATGTAGTTAAAACAAAATGTCTTGCTCACAGTTTACAATGATGTACATTTTAGACTCACGTTTTTGATGTCCGTTGCCAATGGTGGATTTGTTAAGATTGAAAATAAAGAAACAAACTTGGTGGAAACTAGATATCTACAAGGACTGACTCAAACCAATACATTTTCTATAACATTTGACAGTGTAGATCCATACCATTGTAAACCCAGGTCAGGATGTTCTCTAGATATGCTCTCTGATGTAGACTTATCTAAACAGGTACATATACTCTAGACCAATATTATTGTAAACCTCAAACAGATTATCGTCCAGATAAGACACATATTATTCTATATCACATCCATTCCGTGTACATCTATTTAATTGTAACCCCATGAAGATGTCCCCTAGACATGCTTTGTGATGTTGAGATTTCGCAGAACAATTTAAGTGAATTTGAAGCATTTGGGCATATGGCTGGGATGAGGATGGTCGGGGTGGCGGGGGCATACAATGGATTTAGTGTATACCAGAGACTCAATCAGGGAGTAGCGCGTAGAGAGAACTCAGAGTAGGTGTTCAGTTGTCCCACTACTTACTATGTTAAGAAATGCCTTCACTTTCCGAACAGGTTTATATCATTGTAAATTCCCAACGATGCATTATTTATTTCATCCTCATATTATCTTACCTTATACAGCTTCAAATGCATCCTTTAGAGTAAGTACGGAATAACCCGATTCTGAACAATTTAGTGGAACATTTGCCACTTTTTAATTTTTACCCCCAGGCTAGTGCTTCATAAGTATTTCTCCGTCGATGACGTTGTTATTCCTGAAAACCCATTTAGTTTGTTGGGAATAAGACCATTTCGTTTATTTAAATACCATTCACGGCGATATAATATCAACTGGAATGACGTGAGAATAAAGTCTACAGCCACTATTTCTATCTAATCCTAAATTATTTATTGACTAGCGTACTCAACGTTTTTCATGGGACGGCTGGATGGATACAGATGCCGGGATTAAAGAATATGAGTATGAACTGTTTGAACTTCATCGTGTTGGTAATGAACTTGGTGTCAAGGCGAGGAAGTCGGACTCGAGAACTACGTCAGTGAGTATGATATGCAATATTTACAATGACAAAATAATGCTTCCGACATCAAAGTTTCAATAAAGTAGTCTTGTGACACTATCCTGGTCCCGTATCCCAAGACAACGGCACCGCAGAGCGGACTTTGTGACTATCCTGGCCGCGGTCTCCAAAAGCCTCAGTATGTGTCACTATGGTGACACTTCTCTAATCAGGACTTTTACGTTTTGTATAGAATTTCAATGATCAATTAACTATGGAACACTGTGTTGTTATAACTATGTTTATATGAAATACTGGAAATTACAACATATATGATAGTACATTATGAATTATTATAATATTTACAGTCAGAGTTTAACAAGCCTAGAACTCAGACCTAACGGCTGAAACGCTACATATTGTCTCTACACCGGCCTCTAGCCAGAGGCAGAGAGTACCCTGCACCCGGAACGTCAAATGATGTTATTCCGAGGAACACTGAATGATGTCTGAATCCTGGCCTCTAAACCGAGGGGGCTGTGAGCATGCCTTCTAATAAACCCCGTTTTAACCGCGCCCTTTAATTTATATAAAATGTATAGATACGTTAGCTATTAGTGCGGGGCAATTACCATTTTTGGTTAAGTGTTTCATTTGAGCTCCCCTTTTCATCAACATTGTTTATTCAATTAGACTAATCTTTGTACGAGATGCCTGGGCATCAGTAACCTACGTCGAGGAATAAATTGTGGCAGAAATGTCAGTCTAAGAAAGTGGAGAATAGTTCCTGTTGTCACTTGTAGGTAGCGACTCCAATACCTTAAACAGAGCATCATTAGAGAACTTTTAAAGTTTTCTATTTCACTAACATTGTGTATAAAAAGTAGCGAAAAGAACGTTTGAGGGAGATAATGAACTTAGAAAAAAAGAATAAAGATGTAATAAAAGCAATTAAATGATATCGTTGACAAAGTCCGATAAAACCCAATAACCAACTACAACATAAAAACCGACATAATTAAAATGGTAGTAAATACGACTACAAAATGAAGTGTATACTAAAATGTTTAGTTCGGAAAGATGAAGATAAAGTGTATGTTTAGATTAGTAATATGCTTGTCATTGTGAAACTCTATTCTTTCAGAAAAGTGTTGTTGTTACATTCCCCGATCCTGCCGTGTATTCCATGATTTTATCAGCTTATGATAAAGCTGGAAATTACAAGAAAGCCAGACGATTGATTATATTTGATGACACATCTGCTGTAACAACGACGTCTGGGAGTGTGCTTAGAGTGACAACTGCTGTTCCTACTACCAATTACAAATGGCAGACTAATTTAAATTCTGTTACAATCAGCTGGACTAATAGATATATCAACACTGTACATCATAATGGTCGTTTTCTAGCAGCTGTTAAACCAGAACCTGGTGTAGAGTCTCAATATGATGATAATTATGGGTCTAGAACAACACAGGCAATCAGTAATGTACAAGGTAACAGAGGTTTAATTATGGTTTGGAGGTATGACTGTAGGCCGTCAAACAGTTTTACCAGACATGATATTGATAAATCAGCGGTGCGCCACCTTCAACAGCCTAGGTAAACTTAAATGGCGAAATAATGTGCAATCAGCAAAATCCGAACAGTTTGGACCTTGATGACTACGTTTTATTATTATATCAAATGCATATAAAGTTTATGAAAAATCTTAAGGGATTGCTCCATTTTTATTGCCTGTTATATGATCTTACCCTTGACATTTGAATATTATATTAGATAATTTGGATTTAATTTTTCAGGAATTGTTAGTATTAAAAGCATACATAAAGTGGACCACTCTGGAGGAAGTTCGATTAACCAGCCTTCTCAAAATGACTTCGTAGATCTAGGACTTGATCAACAAGTGACAATAACACCAGTTCTGAAAGATGGCGATACTTTACGATATTTTATCAAAGGTTACGATATTTTATCTCAATACAAGGAAGAATCGTTGACCGTCCATTTTGATAGTTCACCACCTGTTATTGAAAATCTATGGTTAACAAAAGGTGATGAGGTTAATCTAGCAGTTCATGGTTTTGAGGAACTTGATAAAATGGTGTAAGTAACAGACTAAGTATTTACGATATCGTTAACGTATGGGTTATACATAACATTGGGGACACCAACACGAGATTGTGAATTAAGTATCACCCTGATATTTACGATATCTTCAAAATATGACTCCTATATTACCCGTGAGACTACAATTACGAGATTGAAAATTAAGTAAACTTGAATAGGCAGAATAGTTTCCTTCCATGTAGAATACTTCTTTTACATTTTATGTTTTGTCATTCAGTTTTTCTGTCCAGGGTGGGGTGGGGGGTGGATGGCTGAATGGTTAGCGTGCGCGCGCTGTATCATAAAGTCTGTCATTGAGTCGACTGGCGTGGTTTCGAATCCCCGGTTGTATGTGACAAGGAGTAGGGTCGCCTGTCCAACCTCGTGGGTTTTCTCCGGGCCCTCCGGTTTCCCCCCACTGCTAAAGACCCCCACGCGCAAGCGAATTATGTAAATAAAATTAAACCATATGTTAGTCCCGAAATGACCTAGTTTGTGTCGAGTGGACGTTAAACCCCATTTCTCTCTCTCTCTCTCTCTTTTCTGTCCAGATTCTGTTTGAAGTTGATTATATTGACAGCAAAGATGGCATTATATTTTGTTATGAACCTATTATATATTAAACATACATGTATTGATTTAATGTACCCATTACAGCATAGAATGGGTAGCCTATGATGATCATAGTGGAATAGAGACAGTACAATGGAAGATATGGGATCATTTAACAGAAGTAGAACATGGATCTCAGCGTATTCCACCACAAGGCGAAACAGCGGTAAGTAGACGATAATGAAGGAAAAGTTTTATATACCAATGGGGAAACTGCGTGAATACCATCCCGTGAATTGCTTATTAAATTCGTTACTCTTCTAACAAAAACGAGTAGACTATATTTTGTATTTTTAAATACTTGGATATTAATTAAAGAGAGGGGATGGGGTCTTCAAAGTACAACAAGGGAGACAACTCCTCAGGCACAAGTTCCTCTGACTACTATTGAATACTATGTACTGATTTTATCTTTCAGAACATTGAAGAATGTCAAAGTAAATATTCTAATAATGCCAGAGGAGCCAATTGTTATTGTATTCCCACTAGTACATGTTATCATCGCCATTTTCAAATAAAACCACCTAAGACTGCTACACCAGGAGAAGGCATCTTAAACAATAAAAATACTGGTACACATGACCATGATTATCGTATCGTTATTACTGTGATGAACCAAGCTAAATTAGAAACAACTCTGACTAAACAGGCATGTATTAGATTTTTAAAATGAAACCATAACCACAAATATAGACTACAATGTTTCACACTTTACATCCATCCTTGCTCCATGCAAGATGTGTTTGGATAGTTAAACAGTGTAGCTTGTTATAAATATATTATGAAAACAAATTTAACTTTTTAGGGTCCCCTGCCTTTCGACTATTAAAATGGGTATGTCCGTCTGTCCGTCACACTCTCCTCCTAATTGAACTAGAATCTTCAAACTTGGTGTAGGTGTATATTAGATGAATACCTTGATGGTGTTCGAAGATGACCATTTTGTGCTTAGGGTAAGCAGGGATAGCAATTTGATTGTTTGATACTTTGGGATACGATACATTTGGTTATAATTAAGCGAAAGTGATGAAACTTTGTGTACAGTTTCACCATATCAATACCGGAGCATTTTCAAATTTGGGTAAGCAGAACGATAAGCGATTTGATTGATCGAGACTTTGGAGCTCGACAACTTTGATTCTAATTGAGTGATAGTAGTGAAACTTCGTGTATGGTTTCATTAAATCAATACCTTAACGAAATTAGATGCTGAGCACTTCGATCTAATTTGTCGAGACGTTGGAACACAATAACGCTCCTTCTAATTGTGCTAGAATGTTCAAACGTGGTGTATGTGTCTATTAGGTGAATTCCTTGGCAGAGGTCTATCATGCGCATTTTCTACTAAGCAGAGATAAGCAATTTAATTGGCTTCGACTTTGAAACACGATAACTTTAGTTCCAATTGGGTGAGAGTGATGAAACTCCGAGTATAGATTCATTATATCATTGCCTTGACTAAGCTCGATAATGAGAATTGTGAAATTAATTGATATGTATCATCTATTTATTTTGGGATTTCGGCAGGGGACACCAAGCTCACTATTGGCTTGTTGGATTTGTCAAGGGGCATTCACGTGTTGAATTTACTTTAGAGGGATATACAGAGATGCATCTGGTAAACATATCAATTATTAACTGCTTCTTTTCATTATAGTCTCGTTTAATTTCAGATTACAATTGATACTAGTCCACCGCACCAAGGGATGGTGCATGACGGTAAATCTGGTACACCGGAAGTAGACTTTCAACCAGATTTAGAACTATTTGCACACTGGGATGGTTTCTTTGATAGAGAGAGTGGAGTGAAATTTTATCAGTATGGGTTTTCCACGTCTTGTTTGGGTGCCAATAAATTTCAACTGGCTCTTGCAAACAGACAGGTAATCTAAGCAAATAAAGTGAAACAAATAAAATGAATCTTTTGTTTTTTAAAGTAAATGTATTTGGTAAGAGTTATCTCGTACTATTATACTTTTAGGATGTCCAACAGACTACATCTACGCATGCTTCTTGGACAGCACCGTCTGATGGTAAATATTACATCACCGTGGTAGCATATAACCGAGCCTTAGAAGTATCTATACCAGTTTGTTCTGATGGAGTTGCTGTTGATAGAACATTGCCTACCATAAGTGAAATAGATATAGAAGGGGCTAGAATTAAAGGTGGTTTAATAAAAGAAAATAATCAAGTATATTATATATCAAATACAAGACGCAAATATTTACTTAAAGACCCAGATGCAGCTTGTATGTAAGTACAATCTTTAGTTTAAGTGATTTTCGTATATAAAATATAACGTTATGTACGCAAATAGTGTTAAAGTATGTAATATCCATGTTGTGGACCCACTAGATGTCCCAATTTTTTATCCTATTTTAAAAACATTAAAATATATCAGTGTTACAACCTAATGGCGATTGAGTTCGAATTTCGTGAAAATCAGACCAAAACTGCTTGACAAAATGGAAACTCCTTGTACGCATATATTGTAAAAGTATGTACTACCAAGGTTGTGGAATCTCTCTAGAGGTCAACTTTTTTATCTGATTTTGATGAAACTTAAAATATATGTTTATATCTCAGAGATGTCGATTCCTTTTGATATTCGCGACTATCGAGCCATAACTTCCTGGATTATGTCCCCTGATTGTACGAAAAGTCACTTTTTTAGCTTGTTTGGTGTCCATCTCTTGCAAAATGTGGGCGTATCTTGTATGACAACCGCTTGTCTATTTGATTCATTAAAATATATCGTTTTGTATGGTAACCCATTTAAAAGACGTTTTTCAACTAATGTGAATTCACAGTTGACAAAAGACCTAGTTTGACAATATCTCCGTCCCTCGCCTTAACCATTATTAAAGATCCCCATATTTATATCTTTAAAACATCAGAATAAGTAAACAAATTAAACTATGTAACAATACAAAATGGTAATGGACCTTAGCTTAATAAGTAACAATGGCTGTTAGTCATTGAGTAAACAGAAGACGACTGCGATCAATTGTGTGCAGTAGAAGGTCGGATTAATATTATCAAGCTTGGAAATAAAGACGTTATAACATGTCATATTGTTAACACATGCAAACTAAAGATAACACAAGAGTCCGTTGGAATAATTGATTTGCTAGTAAAACTTTATAAATGAAGTAAATGTAACCTTTCCAAACGAAGCTTACCTTCTTATAATCGTTTCAGAAATCTTAAAATCTTAGAATGTTATAACAGAATAGATTAATATATTTCAGGAGAAATGCCAAAACGGTCGAAGTTACTGATCTTTTTCCTATTGAGCGGTTTTCCAATGGTACAATACATACATATCCGGCAAATATGTTTTGTAATGAAAACCCAATCACAGATGTATTTGTTGCAAAGATGTATCTTGCAATGCATTCTCGTGTAAGTATTTCCGTTTCTGAATTTGGTCTCTCCAAAACAGAGCCTGTCATAAACCGGTTAATAATCTTCAAAATAACTAATAGAAATTAGGTTTAGCGTCCGTGATCATTTTTGGAATTTGGAGGCATTCTTGTCACATCTCTAGTAAATCAGAATTCGATTTACTTAGGAGGCTACATCACAAACACGGTAAAACATCTTTATTGAATTCTCTTTACCGGATTGAGTCCCATTTACATAAGTCTTAACAATCTAAAACAAGACTAGAACATAACAAATAGTAATTTTATTTCAGTTATATGTTAATTGGACTGCTAAGGGTAGTTTGATGAATACAGAAATTTACAATTATGAATTTGGTCTAGCATCTGCAGAAAGTTCAGTTTCTGCCCCTGACATTTTACCATTTACATCAACCCATCACCATTCTTGGTACCGTGGTTACCACCTGCAACTTAGTGATGGAACCGAATTCTACATCAGTATTAAGGCAATTAACAAAGCTGGAAAAGTAACTGTTCAGGTTGGTGGCACTTGTTAATGATTTTAGTACTTTAATCCAAATATTGGTTTATTTTTCTACAAAAGTTTAAAAAGTTAGAATATGTTATAACTATTTTCCAGGGATTAGGCCCGATCTTAGTTCATACTATTCCCCCTACTCTTGGTGGTGAGGTATTGGTTAAATTTGAGGATGAGATATTGGAGGCCGATTGGTCAGCAGCAACTGTATCTGATCGCGAATCGTCGCAACTTATCTTTACAACGGCCGTAGGTAAGTTTATGTATGAGTTCCCCCTTCGCTCAAAGGCGGTTTCAAAAATAGAATATTGTTAATTAGTAGTTGATAGTGTTCGGGAATAGGGTCAAATCTGGCAACTATTTGGAACTCTACTTTGAGAATAGCAGTCATAAAATTGAATTCGGATCTGAAAAACCAAAGGTTTGTTCTGTGTCGTGAATATTCAGAAGCAATGTATTTCATTTTACAGGTAGTTCACCGGGAACTGAAGACGTGTATCCGTATTCTTCCTTATCGTCTGGCGGAAGCTGTACGTTAGCTAACCCACCAACCTGTACAGCTCTCTCCATGGATGATCTTCATTGGGATTTACATCACAGCTTTACCTACTATGTATCTATAAGAGTAGAGAACATAGTTGGATTACACAGTGTGTTCACATCTAATCCATATATTCATAATACCAGAAAACCAGCCAAGGGAGTTGTATTTGAAGTTATTCTACCTGATGAGGCAGTTGATTTTGGAATTAATGTAAGCTTTTTCATATATGTTTACGGCGGACTCGTTTGCATGGTTCATCTGCGTCCATTTCTATGGAACAGATAGTTTAAATGCGCACAATAACCTAATGGTATTGTCTTTGTGTTAGCTGTTTTTAACAGTTGGTGGTATTGTGAAAGTGAGGTAGCCTGGTTAAAATTAAGTATAATATCAAATCATGTTTGGCACCTTGGACCAGGGACTCTTCTCAAATATTGCAACCTACATAGTTGGTTAAATGAACCCTCTAGTCTTTGGTCAATATTAGATCATTTATCATCAGGGTATTCAGATTCCACAAAACCGATACTGCAAAATACATTTCCTCTTTCTAAGTCAGTGATTGTCAACCAGTGTGCCGCGGCACACAGGTGTGCCCGCGAGATCTCCACAAATGTGCCGCGGAATTTTCTTAGGAACCCTAAGAATATGCGAAAAACCACATGATCCCAGTTGAGTATTCGCTGATAAGTTCATAGATGTGTTTTCCTTTATGTTTCTACGACTAGTCTCTGTCTACGGTTGTATGCCGTCTGACTTGCCATGTTTTTATTTTGCAAAATTCAAATGTTTTTCATATATATTTAACCAGGTGTGCCGCCATTCTTTCATGTGTTCCAAGGTGTGCCATTGGCAAAGTAGATTGAGAACCACTGTTCTAAGTGTATCCGTTGTCACACACATACACTAAATAAAGTTAATAGTCAACCATATGGTAAACATTTGCGCTAGTATTGATAACAGTACCTAACATAGGCTTTCATCTGCGTTTGTATTTCTCTATTGGAACACATTTGTTTATGTTTATATAATGTACCCTTTAGGAGTTAGAAGACAGTAATTTTCAACTCTCAACCAC